AATGAAATCAATGAATTTATCTGGTATATTGTTTTAACATGATACAAATGGTTTAAATTACATTGATGATAATAAAGTTATATGTATTATGATTTTGCTTAGTATTGAATTTTGCGGTTATGGTTTCAACCTGTGATATGTTTATATGCATTTCATAGGTTAGTGTAGATCGACAACGAGTTTGTGATGTTGTAAATAAGAATGGATGCATGTATACATTTATGTATTCATGTATTCGATAATGTTTGCTCGTTAATAAGAAATGTTTTTATTAAAAGACATTATTTAAAGTTTTGGAAGACTATGAATACATCTAATATAGATTTACACTTTTTTTATTGAAAATTATATAATGATGACCAAATTTGGGTCGTTACAAGTGGCATCTCCAAAGCAGTAACACCAATCATCTAAAGCCATATAGTCACTCAAAATGGGCCACTTGCTCAGATTCATGGAAATTCATCATTAGTTTCTCTATTTACTTTGGAAATTCTATCATTTCATGGAAGTCGAAGCAATAACAAACAACTTCTCATAGTTCTTTAGAAGTTGAATACCGTGTCTTAGCCACATGTGAGTTTCAATGATTAGTCTACATTTTTCCAAGATTTACATATACTCGTAACTTAATTTGCTATCATTTATTGCAACAACCAATCCACAACCAATATACATGATACAAATGGTTAATCCTAGAAAATGAACTTTTCTTTTGTAATCAAATTAATCAATTAGGTTAATAACATAATCAATTGATCATACCAGAAAATAGTTTTCTTTAAAAAATATCATTTCTTCTCATTTGAAAATGATGTTTTCCAAATCAAAAGATGAGAAAGATAATGTGTTTCAAATCAAAAGATTAAAAAGTGTAAGTTATAGAGTTCTAAGAGTAGTTTACTTAAGATTTTCATATTGAGATGTTCTAAAGGATTCTTGCTTAAAGTAAGTGTCATTTTTTTAATATCAACACATAAGGTGTATTCCTTCTTTTTTTCTTCTCTTTGTTATCATTCCTTTTTGTTAATCTTGTCATTCTAAAGGTGATTTTTATAAGGCAATTGTGTGTAGCATTATAGTTGTGTGTAATTCTTGAAGTCTATTTCAAGGTTCTTGTATTGTAAAAATTAGGATTACTAAAATGTTCTTGTAGTATTGTAAACTCTTACTTCTATGGTGAAATTCTAGCTCAAGTTTGAAGCTGATGTTGATTCTTAAAGAATCGAACGAGTATAAAATTTATTGTTTCTTATTTCTTCTAACATACACTTTGTTAATTGATTAAATCAATTTCAAGAAAATGGTTTTGAAAAATTAAAAAGAATAAGTTTTTAGAAAAACCAATTCAACCTTTCCTCTATCTTGATTGGAAAATATTTTCTGCAAGTATTTTAACACCAAATAAACCACCTCGTTAATTTGGACCGATTCTAAATTTGTTGGGAATCCAAGTGTGAGTCTAAATCTCACATTGGATAAAATGAGAAAGTAGAACACTATATAAAGATGAAAGACCCATTAATCCATTGCCTTAAGGTTTTGGGTAGAGAGTGGTGTTAATCCTTTATATGGTTGGACTCATATCTCATTGATATTGTGTCTCCCCGGATGAACCTCCTCCTTGGTAGATCCAACAGTGGTATCAGAGTCGATGGTTTCTAAGTGAGTCTAAGTCCCACATTGGATAGAAATGAGAAAGTAGAACATTATATAAAGATGAAAGACCCATTAACCCTTAATGTAAAGACTCAATGTAAGGATATGAAAGTTGAGAAAGAGATGATGTTATAGCCAAGAATTGCACACCCTCTAAGTCATAACATTTAGTGTATTCTTTTATTTTCATTGTCACCATTTGTTTTCTCGTCTTTTATTTTTTTATTATTGTTCTAGTTTCAATATATTTATTAATATTTCTTTAATATTATTGAGAGTGACCTAAATGTCTATAACATTATCATTATTCTACTATTATTTATATATATATATATATATATATATATATATATATATATATTGTATCTATGAACCGACTAGTCAATGTAATCTCAAAGTGAACAAACAGTCGGTCAATCCATTGAAACCTCCAAAACAATATAGACCGATCAGTCACTACCAACATCAGTAACTGATCGGCCTCTCACAAATTAAGAAAACTTGAAGCTAATTAGTAATGAAAAAACATCCTTACAACGCATAGGGTCGTGATTGGACCAACCCTAAACAAAAGTCCATTTCAGAGCCTATAAATATAAAGCCTATAAATATAGAGACAAGGTAAGGAGATAGGTGATTACATTTATTAGGCATTTAAGAGTTAACTGTAATAACCGATCAATATAACTAAGAACTGATTTAATCATTAGAGTGCCTTTAACATATACTCACCCTTCGGACTTGGACTTTATTAGAGAAAATTCAACAAGAGATTGAAATAAGAGAGATAATCTAAGATAAATGATTCACTAAAAGTGTGAAAGTATAGTTTTCGACCTTAATATCGAATATATATATATATATATATATATATATATATATATATTAATACTAATATTACGTGAATAGGATAACAATCGAGTGAAAATAAACCATAACATAAGATTGGACATCAATCCTAACATTATAATAAGAAAAAAAATCCTACCGTATAAACCAAGCAAATTTAGATAAAAATTAATTTGACAACCTTAAAATCAACAACTTATACTTTCAATGAAATATAAGTTTATCATTATTCTAATAATTCTAGTATATTTCAATTCAATGATGAAGAGATTTAAAAGTAATTGAATTTATTTGAATAGATTTCAATTTAAAGTTTGTGTTGATGAAGAGATTTAAGCCGTGTTCATTTGAAGGTAATTCATTGTTATTAGCGATTTGCGACGATGGATTTCAAATGAATTTTATGTTCACATCTATAGATTTGCAGGTGATGGAAAAAGCTGATTTGTAGGATGAAGCAAATTTTTAATCTTCCACTCTCTCTCCAGATTTACAAGGAATTATGACAATTCTCAATTTTACCCTTAATATAATATATTTGATTGAAATAGATTCTCAACATGAATAATAATAATAAATTATTATTATTATTATTATTATTTTGGTAATCTTTAATTTCATTACTTACCTTAAAATTCACTCAAATAAACAACAAAAATTTTCTCCTCAAATCCGTACATTCACTTTCTCCCAAATCATCTTCTGCAGTGAACAAAGCCTTAAAAGTGAGAGTGAGTGAATTTAAAAAGTGAAATTTATGAAAATTTGTGAATGATTTGATGTGATAGATAAAAAAAAGCTTTAATAGATAGAAAAGAAATATTACAAAATTATATTTATTTAAAAATAATATAAAAATATTTTTGGATTAGTTAAATTTTTTTAAAAAAATATTATTCATTAATTTTGAAAAAAATAATAATAGTAATAAATAATACAATTTATTTGATATAACAATAAAAAATACATTATATTTCTAAAAGTTATGTTCTTTTAATTCTAAAAGTTATTATTATTATTATTAAACACATCCGAACAACACAAAATAAGGAATTAAAAAACATTTTTCACACATTGAAATCGATTTGATGAACAATATAACTTATTATCACACATGCATGGGTTCTTGGAGGAATTGATTTCACCAAATCAAAAACCAATTCCTAACACCAATCGGGACCACCTTACACCCATGACATTTCGCAATCACCTTCTTGTTGCTTTTGTCTATATCGAAGTTCACAACACACTTCACCCTTCCTACTACTACAACCTTCTTCGCCATCACATTACAGAACCATCATAGCACTGTCACAAAAACAAAACTCAAGTTCTCCACCTCTCACAAATAATAAACTCCAGGTGCTATTATTGTTAAACTTCATATATCACCGTCAAACTTCCTCCTCAAGCTCAACATTTCGCTACTCTCTTCTTTTCTCCATCCTTAAATTTTTGGATAAAAACACATTACACTCACAAAATCGTCCCTTTCCATCACTCTCAATAATAAATTCCTCACAGTGTCAAACAATTCATCCCAAAAGAAAATACATTTTTTGGTTTGTTTCCTAAAGTAATACATTTTTAAGCGAATATCCTATTGGAGGAAATTCTTAAAATATTGGCGAATTTGATTCCATATAATTTATTTGTATAAAAAAAGTTTGTCAAAATAGATCTCCACGTATTAGACTGTGATGCTTTTAAAATTGTGTCCTGATGCCTTCCATCCATTCATAAAGTGTCAAAGTCTTTTCAAAAATAATGATGCTGACCTTGTTCACACATACATGGAATTAGGTCCAAAATTCAGGTTCAGTTCATACACTTCTGACGACATCTCCGCCGGCGCATTAAATTCAAAATCATGGATTACTCTTCAGAAACAGATCGACACAGATCACAAAATCACTTTTTTTAATATGCTTTATTTCCCCTTTCAGTAATTATTTCCCTCAAAGCCGTGTGAACATGTTGTTAGTTTGCAAGTTCACTCCTTCAAAATCATTACTTTGCTTAATTATTCTATTACTCATTTCAACTCTGTCACTTTCTTTAAAATTATCATTCATTTTTAATCACTTCCAGGATCTGCAGATTTTCTAGTTTCTACAACGGATGTCCCAAACAATCAATCTTAATCTTTATTATATTGAACATTTAATTTTAATTCATTTCCTGTCAAATTTTCTACTTATTTTAGCATTTCTAAAAAGATTAAAATTTTCAAAGATGAATTTTTATTTCATCAAAAGAATTTATTTTAATAAGTCTTATATTCTCACGTACCTAAAAGTTGGGGTTCCAAACTTCAAAGTAAAAATAGTTCTTGAATTTCTTTTAAATATAGTGATGACTCTAATCGTATTATCTCAACTTATTTAAGATTATAACAAAATTTATCATAAAAGGAAATATTATATGTTTCTCTGTTTTACTTAAAAGAAACAAATAGATAATATAGTACTCATTTTTATTTTTTTTATAAAAAGCTAATATATAGATTAATATGATTGACACAGCCAGGACATAGCTCTGAAACTAATAATTTGTGGGCAGGACACAGTACATAGTGAGGTACAGAGTAGCTGTTAAGATTCACACGTCTTCCGGCCAAATTTCTAATGGGGCAATAAATTCTTGAAGTCTATCCTTTACCCTTGTCGTCTCCACTCCAACTCTTGATATTTTAACCTGACACACCAAAAACCAGATCAAATTACTTAATTGAATTCTTCTTAACTTCTGAACAAACAAACATTTCAGATGAAAATGTTGTAAAAATTGATGCTGTATAACTTTACCTGAGCGTGAACAACGTAAAATAACTTGTCGCCGACAGTTGAGAAGCTTGCAGTGACAACTTCAGCACCTTCTTCCTCAAGAACGCTGATTACTTCGTACAACATGACTGTCTTGTTCAATCCACTCACCAGCATCACTTCGATGCCGGAACCCAAGTCTCTTAGCTCGAGTATTGGCAACTTGGTGTCAACGAACATTTTTCTTTCACTGCTTTGGTTCAACATCGCTTGCTCCTTCTGCCTCTTCAATTTCTCTATTCTCTCTCTCATTTGTTTTATGTACCTTGCTGCGAGATCCAGTTGGTCCTGCTGCCCTAGCATCAGCTGAAAACATTCAACACTTGGTTAAAACTTCATGGACTAAGGATACAATTCATCAAACAGTTAGGAACGTGATTTTGGAAATTTTAGTTCGTGTTTCGCACGAGATCAACTCAAATGTGTGGTGGTGCGTGATTCACGTCCCAATTTTCACATCTGAATCCCGAATTGGAAGACTTCAAACGTGGAATCAGACATGAGTGCTCATTTTCAAATTCTTATACAAAAACGAAGAAAGAGTCTGCTTTTTTGAAAAAGAAAGTGTCTTTTAACTATCCCAATTGAAAGAACAACTGGGTGAAGAGTTCAAACAAGAGGGGTGGCGAAAAAAATGAACAGCTGAGTATTTTTTGTGAATTCCGTGTGTACCTTGGATTTGGGTGGTTTGAGGTTGGGAGGAATAAGAGAACCAAGCTGATGGCAGAGGGATTTCATGTGGATTCTGCGGTTTCTTTCGATGGTTTTGCGATCAAGTTTAGTGGAATCATCGATGGTGCTTGCTGCTAATCTCTTCTTCATCTTGATCGATTGCGAGGTTATTACATAAGTTGTGTGAAAGAGAAGTGATTAAGGAGCAAAGTAGTGAGTGTGCATAAACTGTGGGGTAGTAATGATAAGATGAAGGAGGGAAAATGGATCAATTGGATTGTTGAACAAGTTGAGGTGTTTATATAGAGAAAATGAGTGGTCTGTGGCATCCTAACATTCTAGATTAACTAAGTTTATGTGCACGATCGGGACCCTACATCCTGTTTTCATTTTCATTGACTGGAACATGAGGAACAAGGCTAAACCCCTTTTGTAATTATTTTTATGATTTGCCTATAAACAATTATCTATCTATCCAATTGTGTGGACGTGTGTTTGCATGGTTTCTCCACTTTGTTTTAATGTTAAGTTTATACATACATATATATATATATATATATATATATATATATATATATAATATTTAGTAGGTAATAATGAGAAGGAGAAAGAATGAAGGGAGAGAGAAAGTTTGAATTTTTTAATGAAGAAAACTAATATTTCAACAATTTTAACATTTATTGATGAAAGTAATTAATAAAAAAATATTATATTTGAGAAAAATGATGGTTATTCGGGAGAACTTATCATAGGAATAAAATACCAATTATACTTGAGTCTAAACCACATTTGAGAAAAATGATGGTTCTTCGTGAAGGGAGAACTCATCATAGGAATAAAATACCAATTATACTTGAGTCTAAACCACATAATGCATGAGCATCACCTTAATCTCAAAATCTTAAGTCAATAAGTTTATGGGTCTTATACTTTGTATGATGTTCAACTTTCTCTTTTTTTATCAAATATGGGACTTACAGTACCACTTGAAGCCCAATAATCTCTACATTAAGGGTGAGTCTCTTCCACATTGGTACACACTCTCCTTTCAACGAAAGCATTCTCAACCATGAGTACACCTTTGCATATCGTCGTTCATCTTAATGGGGCACACTTACCTAAAATCTTTGTTAGGAAGACTTTTGATATAATGACCAATTACTCATGTATGAGACGTGGTTAATTTGTGGTTATCATTGACTAAGTATTAATTTGACCTTTATTATTTTGCAATTGCTCAGTCTTGTTAATCAGTTGGTTAGTTTTTCAGTCAGTCGAGTCAGGGTAGTTTGCTCGTTAGTCGGTTGGTCAGGTCAAGGGGTCAGCCCGCCATTCGGTCGATAGGTTGTCTTGCTAGTTGGTCTAACTTATTGACCAAAAGGATATGTAAAATACACTAGTCGTCCAAGCCTGAGTACTTGTAACAGTTTGAAAAGAAAAAAGGTACTTGGAAATCATGTATGTTATAGTCAGATCAAGAGGGGTTCCTTGGTTATAACTCATCTTTAGTCGTTGTAGTTTTCAGGATGGGTTCCTTGTTTAGAACTTGCCCTTAGCCAAATGTTATTTATCGATCAAGAGTGTTTGCTTACTTGGAATTTGCCCTTACCTAATGGAATTTTCAACAAGGGATCCTTGGTTGGAACTTGTCCTGAGTAGAATATTTTAGTTTGATCAGGAGGGGTTCCTTGGTTGGAACTCACCCTTACCCAATATTTTTACCGTAATCGTGAGAGGATAAGGCAAGAGGTCAAGGCCGACCAAAGGTAGAGAGGATGAGCCCATGTGCACTAGTACAAAATTGGCTTTTAAACTCGTACAATAGACATCAGTTCAGACAAAAACGATGCCTATAAAAATGCGGTGGCAGTCATGTAAATACGTTCAACTTATACGTCTCGGTTACACAATGAACCGAAGCATAAACCAGCAACAACCTCGATTACACTGTGAACCGAAGCATAAACGTCCACCTGCCCGCCTGTCTTTTGTGCTGACAACTTTTTGAAATGGGGATACTGCTTCGGGTATGTGTAGAACCGAGGCATAAGGCCTCTGCTACACCTGCAACACACTGACCATCACACTGCCACACGTCTTCTGGCACTTTAGGCTTTGGTTACTGTAATAACCGGTGCCATAAACGTGTATTGCCTCGGGTTTTTGGATAACTGAGGTTGTATCTCTTGTTAAGTTCAGACTCTTAACCTATACTCTTCATTTGCGTTCTTCTTCCTCGCGCTCTCCTCTACTTCCTCGCGTTCTCATTCCTCAGGCGCACAACAACCACCGTTCTTCTTCCACCAGCATTGGGTTCTTCTTCTTCGTTTTCCTTGCACCGTTGCCTCCAACCACAATTCGTTTCCGCTGTCGTGTCGTGCCCCTTCTGCCATTGCCGCAACTGTCGAGTCGTGCCTCCTCCGCCATTGCTGCCGCCACTGCAAAACCATTGTCCCCAACCGGCGTGCCTCGTCCTACGCACGAACTAAGCCCTCAACAGCGGTTCGCAATTGTTGCCACACCTTGCATTTGATTCCATTGCCGCCACCACCATTGGTCGCAGCCACCACAGTTGGTTGCAGCCACCACCATTTGTCGCCGCCACTGTCCGTTTGGGTCGCCACCCACGTTTTGGTCGCAGCACCAAGGGTCTCGCGCAAGCCAAAGAGGGTTTCCTCTTCGTCCATCCAACCCAACCTAGGCGGTGGCCGTTCGTGTTCTTGCAGCGGAGGCAGAGAAATTGGAGCAGTAGGGTTCATTATTGGGTTTTAGCATTTCTCTTGTTTCAGAATTTGATTTCTGACCAACGATATGCAGTAGTGCTCATTTGTATCAAGAATTGATTTTTTTTTTGAATTTGTTGCTTTTGGTTGGGAAGATTATAATCCGGATGAAAAAGACGAAGAGGAGGGTTGTGGTGGTGATAGCAAGTCCTTTTTTGCTCCTTCTGTTGGAACCTCTTTCCATGCTGAGATGTGTTCTATCTTCATGTTGTGACTTCATGATGTGTTCTATCTTCATGCTATTTAGGATGCCTGTGCAGACAATTTAACTTTGTTTTTGGGCGTTTTTGAATTTTGATGACATAGGCAACATATTTACCCAATAATGAACCCTAAGCAGAAAAAAAAAGAACCCTACTGCCTCGGTTCTGGGGAAAAAATTAAAAAAAAAAAATCCTACTGCACCGGTTGTCTTTGAACCGAGGCGATATCCTACTTTTTTATGCCTCGGTTCTGAACCGAGGCATAAAGTCTACCAGTTTTTACCTCGCCTGAATATGCCTCGGTTCAGGAACCGCTACCTATAGTCAAAAATAACCGATGTCGTTTCTCTTTATTGTACTAGTGGTGGTAGAGGTCGAGAGCATTGAGGCTGACTGGTCGAATAGGCCAATGGGATGAGCCAGAATGGTTGAGGTCGAATGACCGAGATTGAGATGTCAAGACTAAAAACTCAAAAGAGAAATTAAGACTGAGATGTTGAAGCCTAATGGTTGAGGCTGAAAAGTCAAGACTAAAAAGTTGACAAAAAATTAAGGCTAAGAGGTCGAGGTCGAGTGACCGATTCAAAATGTTAAGACTAAAAGGTAGACAGAGAAATTGAGACCAAGAGGTCGAGACCGAAAGGTCGAACAAGCCGATTAGTCGAGGTCAAATGGCCGAGTCAAAATTCCAAGATTGAACAGTCGATAGAGAAATTGAGGCCAAGAGGTTAAGGTTGAATTGTTGAGGTCGAATGACCGAGCTGAATGATTGAAGCCAAAATTTGAAGATTGAAAATTCGATAAAGAAATCGAAGCTGAGAAATTGAAATTATATGGTTGAGGCTGAATTGCTAAATAGGTTGATAGAATGAGGTCAAATGGTTGAGTCTGAATGGTTAAGACCATACGATTGAGAGAATGATTTACTTTTTTATTGGCTTAATCATGGTTTAATCATACTTAATCAACATTAGTCGGTTGATTCATAGTTATTATTTGCTAAATGTTAATGTAACCTTTATTCTTCAATGAGTCAGTCTTCTTAATGGTTTAATTCGTCTATCAATTGGTCAATCGATAAATCTATTCACCGATTAAGTAGAAATAATCAATCTGTTGATCGAACCGAATCATCAATCCACCAATCAATCAATAGATAAATCCATCCATTAATAATTAGTGAACCCATTAGTCTCTCTAACTTAAAAAAAAAGGGCGGGGGGAATATAACCAACTAATATCCTCATTACATAGTAATCTTATAATAATCATCATAAGACGTAGTAAACTAAAATTAAAATTAATATAGAGACTGTTGTTATATCATTTAATCTTTAACTTTAATGTCTTATCATTAAGTCCTTATATGAATTAAATAATCATAAAAAGTATGTTAATACTGTTGCTATTTTCTTTTAGGTTTAATGTCTCAATAGGTCCCTATTTTTGTTCAGAATCTCAAATAGGACCCTTTCTTTTTTAGCATCTCAATTGGGTCTTTATTTTTGTAAAATTGAATCAAATAGGACCTTTCGGTCAAATTGATCAGACGGCGTTAAATAGGACATGTTGACTGTGTAGTTTTTTTGTTTTTGTTACGTGGCATTAAAAAGTGACTTAACTTTTTTTTAATTTTTAAATTAAAAAATAGAGTTTAAAGTGAGGGCAAAGTTGGGAAAGCCCCATTTAGGAATTTAGGTCTTTTTATTTATAATTGAAAAAAAGAAATTGATTAGGGATACAAACTTTTTTAAAGTAGAATTAATTAAATTCAATTACAGAAAGTCTGACTCTCTCTGCTACGACGAGAATACGCAAATCACCAATTCAATTCGAATAAAAAACTAATTACACCAGAAATCCCTAATTTCCCAATTTCAGCAAACCCGAATCCCCAAAATCAGAGAACAACAGGAACCCTAAACCCAAACTCGATACTGCCGCTGCTTTTGCCAAATCACGGCGTCACTGCCCTTAAGCCGCAAACCGCCAAGATCTCTTTCCCATGTAAGACGAAACAAAAACGGAAAGGAGGAGGAAGTCTCCCTCTTGCGCCGCGATCCAAAACGGAGAGGAGAAAGTAAACCTCCGCCACGCCATCTCTGTTGAACCTGACCCTTCTCTCCCTACGAGGAAGCGCTAAAGGATAGAGGAAAGAAGGGTTCTATTTGAATCGCGCCATCACTGCACCGTCGACGACGCCCTCGTCGTGCACTTGCCGCCATAGCAGCGCCATAGATGATTCTCCATGTCGGTTGCTTGTGAGATTGGGGAAGGTTTGCCCCTTGCGCGACCCA